GGAAGGACATTTTTTCAAACCTCTAAAAAGAAACATCCAATAAAACGATCAGATATTACACTCAGAATCCAGGAGAATTTTAAAAACTATGCAGCTTTTTTTAACAGAATTACCCTTAGAAATTTTTATTTTGTATTTTGCCCGCATTTCTGCCTAAAGATGATAAGATGATGGAAGTATGCATTATACCCTTTTTCCCTCTTTAGGGGAAATATAAATGTTGTAAAATAACTAAACAACACAGTTGAGACAAATGGGATCTCTTCCTTAAAAATCAACTTTTCAGACAAAAACTTCATGGTGGAGTGTTTAAAAAAACGAGTGTAACAGATCAGATAAACTAACAAATAAACTTAAAAAATGCTCATCATAAAGATCTAAAGGGACTTTATGATGCCTTGGATACTGTGGCTTTACAAGACTGACTTAAGTAATTAGAAGTGAACTAAAATCTTTTTTTTTTTCTTGATTTTATTAGAATTTTTTGATTTATTGATACAAAATATATATATTAATTTACTTAATAATATTATAAAAAAGTTTATTCATAGTCTATAATTAAAATTTTCAATAAAGTTTATCATAAACCGGATGCTTTTCTGTTGATGAGAGAAAAAAATACTTTTTTTCTTTCACAACCACCTTTTTTCTTTCAGGACATTCTTTTTAGAATTTTTAAAAAAACTTTTTTGTGGACACTTTAATTGTACATTGCTAGAAAAACTTATTTTGAGAGTGAGCACTTTTTTTAAACACAAAACCTCATACATTTTAGCAAACTTTAAAATTAAAAAATTGCATATGCCTTGACAATAAAAAAAAAAAAAATCCGATAAATATTATTTATTTATTTATATTTATCCGCCTATAATGAATAGCCTATGAATATTATTAATAGTGCGCATAGTTACGCGTATTGTTTTATAGTTACGGTACGGTTCTGTATCTGTAAAATACACTTTTTAAGTAGTTTCTAGACTTTTCTTTACCGCGTGCTTACTTACAGATTTCCCTTCAACCTTTCATGGTACAAGTTCAAAATGTCTAAGTTGACATTAAGTAGATAATGTTTAGTAGCTTAAAATTATAGGTAATCTAAATTTTTTTTTAAATTTAAAAGTAAATAATTTATTGTAATCTTTTTTAAATTGTAATTTTAAATTTAAAGCTTCATGTTATAGATTACTTTAATTCTTAAATTGTGTCTAGCGTTAAAATATATTTATGGGTAGTTCCATGCTTTCACTTAGTTTTGGTTATTGGGATAAAAGCCATGACAACATTTTGTTATAAATTTATCTTAATTTAATTTTTATTGAAAATTTTGTTATAAATAAAATTTGTCTTTAATATTGTTAATACTTTTGCTCTTTGAAAAAAAATATGTTTCTGGCTCTTCAATAAATATAAAATTATTTGTCTTGCATGAATGAATTTTACATATATTATATATGGAGGGAGTAAGTTTAGAAGCCTTTTTAAATTTTTAAAAAGAAATAAAAATACTTTTCAATATATATCTGTTTTCTTTGAGGTAGAATTAAAGTTTCAGTTTTGTAAAACTTTAAATTAACTTTACAATGTTAAAATGATTTAAACAACTTAAACGGATTTTTGTAAATGAATTTAATCCTCAAAGATAAAATTTTTTTTATTATTGAAGAAATTAAACTAGATTTAAGAATGAGTCGACTTAAATGTTTGTTTGTTTTTCTATTTAGATGATGACAATATTGAAGCAAGTAAGCTAAAAAGCATTTTTAAATTTTTAAAAAGAAATAAAAGTACTTTTCAATATATATCTGTTTTCTTTGAGGTAGATTTAAAGTTTCAGTTTTTTAAAATCATATATATTTTAAAATCATATATATAACTGATATATCTTTGTTTTTCTATTTAGACGTTGGTAATAATATGAAACAAGTAAGTTATGAAGCATTTTTAAATTTTTAAAAAGAAATAAAAATACTTTTCAATATATATCTGTTTTCTTTGAGGTAGATTTAAAGTTTCAGTTTTTTAAAATCATATATATTTTAAAATCATATATATAACTCATATATCTTTGTTTTTCTATTTAGACGTTGGTAATAATATGAAACAAGTAAGTTATAAAGCATTTTTAAATTTTTAAAAAGAAATAAAAATACTTTTTATTATATATCTGTTTTCTTCGAGGTAGATTTAAAATTTCAGGTTTTTTAAATCATATATATTATAAGATTTAAGAATGAGTCGACTTGAATGTTTGTTTGTTTTTCTATTTAGACGTTGGTGATAATATCGAAACAAGTAAGTTATAAAGCATTTTTAAATTTTTAAAAAGAAATAAAAAAACTTTTCAATATATATCTGTTTTCTTCGAGGTAGATTTAAAATTTCAGGTTTTTAAAATCATATATATTATAATATTAAATTCTTTTTTACTTTAAAAATATCTATATTATAGTTACACTGAGTCGTAGAAAAAAAATTAAAGTTTATTAATAAGGTAGTAGATTATTAGAGTAGATTAAATTGTTTGATCTATTAATCAACTTAATAACGTACTATTAATATGAAGATTTATTTTGGTTGTTTGTTTGTTAAAATTTAGTTAGAGTTTATTTAAAATTTAAATTCTTTAGTTAATCAAGAGAGATCTAATAAAGGTATTAATTACATTAGTTGAATGTGGCATTTAATATGTATTTTATGGATATAAGGAATAATATAATAAGGAATAGAAAAGTTTAAAAAATTGGCTCTGGAATTTGTCAAAAGAGTGTTGTGTTATGCTTCATTTTAAGGTATCTAAATATATATTCATTAGAAATTTTTAATTTTGTTTTTAAATGGTTTATTCTTTTTCACTACTTTAGATAAATATATACTGACTGACATAACTTCATTTTTATTAACAATGTCGTGCATTGTAGCCTGCATTCTTTGTTACATTAAAAATAATTGATGCTAATAAATGTTCTTTTATAGTTGTTAAAAGTTTGCATATATGTTTGCATTTATATTATGATCAAAGTTGTAATTTTTTTGATTAATACGTGTATGTGGTGATACTACTCAGGTATCACCGCAGCTTATCTCTATCAGGTACATTGATTTTTAATTCACATATGATGTTTTTCTTTGTATTTACTTATTCATTACATTTTTAACTTCAGATTTATGGTGTATTTATTTGCTATAGAAGAACAAATCATTTTGAATTTTTTAAAAATATCTACACCAATCAACATTTAAAGTTCAGTGTAGCATATACCAGCTTCTAGGCTTTTTTGATGCTTTTCTTATTCAAGCAGTTTCATAAGCAAGGTCTACAAGCAAATTTTAGATGAAAAGTTTTTCAGCTTTCAAGGAAAATCAATGTTGTTCTCTGTATAATTTAATTTGTTTAAATAGAGTAGTTTTAGTAAATAAATGTTTGTTCTTGGTTTTTTACTTATTTGTTATCAGATTCTTAAGAATTAGGCAACTTAGCAAGCAAGATTATTTTATTTTTATAAGGTTAATTTCCAGCATTAAGAAATGCTGGAAATTAACTTTTAGTTAAGGTAAAAATAATTTTGTTTATTGGTAGCATAATAAAACCAGTTACTGTTATTTATTGCATGACTTTTTTACTTTTTTTAACATGGTGTTTTTAAAACACTTCCTCTCTCTTAGATGAGACTTAAATAAGAATTAGCATTGAGAATTGTAGAGAGAGAATTGATTGGGGGGTCGTATGGGTTGAATGGGGGGTCGTAACTAAAAACCTTTAAAAATATAGAGAATATTGTAGTTTTGCGCATTAATATCGAGTTACTTAAGTTTTATTTATGTGTTTAACTAATTAGTTAGCTTAGTCTTTATTTGCAACACTTTTGAGGAAAAAAAGAAAACATTCTTATATAAGTAGATCATTGTTTTACATTTTAATATTTTATTTTATTCACCTGGCCACCATTAAAGCAAAAAGAGGGAAGGAACCTCTTTATTAGAGCCAAAATATTTAGAAAAATTAAATTTCGAGTTACAAAAGAAATTTTTAGTAAATGGTGGCAAATTACCGTTTACTAAAAATTTAATGAAATAAAGAGGCTAAATAAATAATATACAAATGGTCTGTGTTGAACAGACTTAACAAGACCCGGGTCGGGTCAGCTTGGTTTACAAATTTTTATGTCTACTTATCTCTTATAATTTTTATTTTAGTTTGTTCTATGATGCATTAATGTATTAAAAAATTTGTTATACCTATGTTTGATCGTAAATTAAATTTTTTTTTTGTTTGAAAGGTATTTGTACTCAGTTGCGTAGTTATAATAAACTTTGTTATTTTTTATAAATTTATTTAAACGTGTGCATTTAACATTTTTAAGTTAACAATTTTCTTTTCTAAAGAACAATTAATCAAGGGGATAACAAAAAATTGATAACTCCTGTATAATATAAGTTAACTTCATTTTAATCTTAATGGTTCATGTTATAAAAATTATTACAAGGATTTAGTTGACACTTTCGTCAATTTAAAGTATAACCAAGTGTTATTATTTTGCGTCAGTAACTAAAAACGTATTGTGTTAAACTTAGGAAGGTCGATGAAAATGGTTTTGCCTTACACTGTTATGACCTGTGCCATTTGTAAATTACTTAAATAATGTTAAGTAGTAGTTGGTAAATTATTTTACCTCATAATTTTTATGTTAATTTTACAGATGGATTAATTTTTTCAAGCTGAAGGCAATTTTCTAAAAGGGTATTAGTTAAGGTTTTGCAAGATTAAATTGTGGAAAACAGCTACTATAAATTAATTATGTAACAGACCGACCAAAACCCGTATTACGGGTCGCCTTTTGCTAGTTTATATTATTATTACTAAAAAAACTAAGAAAAATGCAAAAAACTGCAAATTAACCATACTCAATTTCAATATGAACTTATGTTTATAAAAACATTATAGATATTTTAAAAAAGCTACAATAAAATATTTACATTGAAGCAATAAATATAAAACTTACGTTAAAGCAATATTTGGTACACCTTCTGCAAAAATATAAAATTTTTGAACAAAACAGTTAATCTTTGTTAGCTCATTTAAAAAAATATCTCTTCCAGCAACTTTTGTTCCACAAACTTTAATATGATAATTAATTCCTTCTAAAAACTGTTTTGTGCTGAAATTCATTTCAGGACTATTTGAAGAAATATCCATCCATGTTTGACTAAAACATGTATTACTAAAATTATTTAATCCTAACTTAATAAAATTTTCCATGGCATAACTTGCTACTAAAAAATTAGAAGCAACTTTACAACTCCAGGTAAAGGTGATATTTTGAATGCCACTTTCTTGATTATCTGGATCATAACTAGACAATGCACTTATTGTAAAGTTTTGAAAATAACTATCGTTTCCATTGTATATTTTATAAGCATAAGAAGCCAAAAGGCCATTCTGAATGCTCATAGACAATGGTAAAAACGTAACATTTATGTACGCAGTATAATCATAATAACTATCTCCATAGAAATATCGCAACGTTAAATAGTATGTACCAAAATCAAGCGTATTTTTTAGGATTGTGTAGGTTACTTTTTGTTGAGATAGGATTCCTTCTATTGAACTTATTGCTGAAATAGAACTATTCAGACTCCATTGAAAACTAAAACTTTCATTTTCGCAATACTGTCTAACACTATCAACAGTAGCAGTAAAATCATTTGAGACACTTCGAAAAACAATTACTGGATCTAAAATAGTTCCATAGGAAAATCTAACCTCCGGCACAGAACAAAATATTACTTCAATGTAACAACTAAAACTCAGAGTCTGCAAAGCATTACTGCTTGTTGCAATAAGATTGTATGTATTCTGTTTTTCATATAAATGAATCATATGAAATGAAACAGGAGAATAACCATTTAGATTCATAACTGATTGATTATTATATGAGTAAGTACCATCACCCCATACTATAGAGTAATTCCTATATGACCCGATATCTTGATATATACTTAATATAAAAGGTTTTCCAAGAGATAACTTAATCAATTGTTTCTGAGCCACTAGACTAAATGAAGGAGTTGTTTTTACAACAAATGGAGACATTAAGCAAAAAACAGTTACGTTTGTTGAATTAGAGTAGGAATAACGAATTTTTTCATTAAGATGCACAAGAACATTAGAAGCATAAATAGTGACTGTGTACACATCGCATTCAGAATATCTAGTAACAAAATTAGTTAAATTAATATTATTATAAACATATTATTTTTATTACATGATTTAATTATATAATCATTTTTATTATATGATAATTTATGAATAAATACAAACAATATTATTGTAAACATGTTATTTTTTAAATATGGTTAAATATATAATCAATTTTATTATATGATAATATATGAATTAATATAAACAATATTATTGTAAACATTTTATTTTGAATATATGATTAAATATATAATCATTTTTAATATATGATAATATTTGAATTAATAAAAATAATATTATTATAAAGATATTATTTTTAATATATGATCAAATAATACATATTTAAAACAAACTGTTTATTATAAGAAGCTTGTGCTTGACTGTGATTAACAGCATCCTTTTAAAAGTATATAAATTTTGAATCCTTTTAAAAGTATATAAATACAGTTAATATGAAACCAAAAGGTGTTTTAAGTTCTTAAATATAGATAAATAATGTTATTATGGCAGAATTGTTTTCAAAAAAGATTAAATTTAATGTTGAATAGCAAAATAGTTTTTAAATAATAATTTTTATAAAAACAAAATTTAGGTTTCAATTTTTATATTTTTAAATGCAAAATAATGAAGACATTTAACTTACTGACATAAGTTATTTTCAAACTGTTTTTACTATTTTTCAAAATAATATATATGAAAATAAAAAAACTTTAGGCATTTAAAAAAAAGGTGATGAGCAATATCTACAACCATCAGTAAATAAGTTCATATTGCAAAGTTAATAAAATTTGAAATTCTTACTATAATTAATACTTTAATGTAATTTTAAAATGTTTGAAATCTATTTTTGTTTGTTAAATTAAAACAAATAGTATAAAAATTTCAACAGGTCTCTCCCTATAAACCCAGTTTCAAAAATGTTTGTTCATCAATATATTGAGATAAATATTATTGTAAAAACTATTTCAATTTGCAAAGTAATTTTTTAAACAATGTGTGACTTTTCAATATTTTAATATAACTATTTGAGTGAGAAACAAATGTTAATAGTTATTTAAAAAACTAAGTTTTCAATATTTAAAAACTTATTGCTAATTTAGAACAATTTAAAATAAAAAATAATATATAAAAACTTTTATAATCATTTTATGTAGATTACATTTAAGATTTTATTAATAATGAATAAATCTGTCTTCAAGTTTAGATGAAATTGTTTTTCCTCTAAAGTGTTAAAAATAACATCATGATAGCCAGGCCATGTGTTATTAACCTAATTTAAATGTGCTACCAATTAGAGATTTGCGAAGGTAAAAAGTTTTTATTTTAATGAATAAAAACTAAAATAATTAAAGGGTTGAAATTTATGCTTTGAAGAAGTTATAATATTATAATAAAAAATTAAATAAATTAATATTTATTTTATTTTTTGTTATAAATTAACTATTATTTCAAAAAGAGTTTTATTTATGGGTTATTAATGTCTAGTGACATGGACTTACACTTATTATATTATAAATAATCCTCCTTCTTACCTTTACTAAATTAATCTTTCCTGACCATTGACCATGACTGTTAACGTTAAAAAAATCTAAAACTTTATAAATAGCCCTAACACGTTACTGGATACATTCACTAAAGCCATAATATCTCAACCAATATACCAAAAAAATTAACAACCTGGACTAAGAAAGCAATTTGGACAAATAGTTTTACTTAAATAAAGTTTATACATTCTGTTAGTTGACTAGCCATATTCAATTTTTGAAAACCTTCTTATTTCAAATAAACTCCTAATTAGGTAATTTTTCAATGAGTTATTTGTATGTTTTTCCATATATATTTTAAATACATTTATTACCTGTATTATATTATTGTTTGAACTTTCTTCTCAACGGATACATCTTTTCTTCATCTTTCAATTTCAAAGTTCTACATTTTTTCACAAGGCTTCCTTTTTGTTTCATAGTTTCCAGCAATTTTATTGTCACAATTGATTTTTGTAATACAAAGTTTTACACAAATAATTTATGTAAAGTCTTTCTTTTATATTATTGCATCTTTCATTCTTTTTCTTCATTTATTTCACTCGTTCTTTTTATGTATTGTTGCTTGGTTATTTAATTTGGTCTCTGATTTAAACTTTTTACATTCAAACTTTTAGCTTTGCTTTAATTTTATTCTTATTTACTAACTAGAATTTCTTGTTGTTTCATATTTTCACCAATTTTATTGCAAATTTGTCCAATATATGTTTTATCTTGTTTACACCTTGTGCTACTTACCGATCTTGTCTTTTGTTGCCATTTACTTATTTTGCCTTCTGATCAAGACACTTTTGTCCAATCAAATGCAACCTAACTTAGATCAAGACTCCTAAGACCAACTTTTGGTTTTTGTTATCATGGACCAATTAAACACTTTTTTATTATAAAAAAAAAACATTCAAAGCCTTTTCAAATCACATATGAGTTACTAAGTAAACCTCTGATGTTAAAAGAATTTTTAAATCAAGCATTTATCTCAAATCTGTCAAATTAGGCATTAATTGGAAAAAAGATGCTTCTACACGATTTTAAAGCTGTGTAAAAAAATAGGGACTGAAGTTTAAAATAGGTCTTGTAGCACGTAGTTTAGCCTGGGCTGAACTTTTGCTCACCACAGTATATCATAAATGTAGACAATAATATATAAGCAACTTGAATAAAAAAAAATTTTAGTAATTTTTTAGTAATATTATAGTTTTATGATAATATTATAGTTTTATGGTGGCGGGATAGCTCAGATGGTTAGAGCGTCAAAGAAAAAGTTTAAACCCGGACTGTTGAACGATACGAGCTTAAATCTCGCTACTGCCAACTCAGCGCTTGAGTAGTACTTTGGTACGCAAAAATGTTGGTCAATAGCGGACGCTACTTTGGATTAGTCTTAATGACTATTTGTGGCTGTTCCTATGCTAAGCCAACAATATCTTCGGATATAAAAACATTGTATAGAAAAATGAAAACATGAAAACATAAATAAATAAATAAAAAAATAAAAATAAATAAATAAAAAAATAAATTATGACTTTTTGGTAATCATTAGAAAAAAAAAATATTTAAAAACAAAATTGTTAAATAAAGTATAAATTAGTTAATAAAATCTTTTTTTTTAGTCGATCTTAAATTTTAGCAAACATGTGGCAACCCACGCGTTTTAATGGTTTGCTGAAAAATAATTATTAACTAAACTTCTTTTATTTGCTTTTAAAAACTGTCACTATATTCAATATTTAAAAACTTTAAATATTTAAATTGATTTTAAATAGCTTGAAAATAATAAAAACAATAATGAATAACAAATTGATAAAAATATATATATATTTTTAAAATAATATTAAGATAGTGAAGTGTATGTTAAAATATTTATTTTTTAATATTTTGTTTACTTTGATTATTTTAACATTTTTTTAAAATAATAATTTTGCACAAGTTCACATACAAAAAAAATAAAAGTTTCAAATAGCAAAATTTAAAATTTTTTGTTTGTTTAGTATACAAAAACAAAATATAGACCTTGTTACACAGTACAAGTATTGCAAGCAAAACACGAAAAAAACTGCCAATAAAAAAAAAAAAAGTGTAAGAATTTTATATATCTTATAAAAAAAAATGAAACCACTACAAAAATAAAATGTAACAACTCTAAATGAAAGTCAAAAACCAATTTTGCGATAGAAAAAGTTAACGTCAACAAAGTTAAATCTGGCAAGTTGCAGAGTAAAAATATAGATACATAGCAAAAAGAACTTATGGTTTGTTAAACTGAAGTTTATGACAAACTTATTCTACAATGCTTAAAATATCCTACAAATAAAAAACTCATTAAATCTAATTTTCCTTATGACACGAAGTGTTGCTAGTATTATTAGCCGAAGTTATTATGTTGTTAATTTTTTTCATATAAGCAAAGAAGTTTTTGACAACTTTAAAAAGATGTGTTCAATGTTGTTGGTTTTGATTTGATGAATTTGATTATAAAGCATATGAGTAAGTTTCAATAAATTTGAACCTGTATATATATATATATATATATATATATATATATATATATATATATATTATATATATATATATATATATATATATATATATATATATCTTATACTGCTGAGTTAGGTGAGCATGATGATGTCATACTCACCTAACGTCAAATAGCCTGCTGCCGGTGGCTTCAGTACATACATCGACTGACAAGTAGCCTGACTCGCAGTAGAGTGCTGCTACATCGACTGAGGGTTTGCTATGGGTCAGCAACCTTTTTATTCTTTATTCTTCGTTTTCTCTCATCGTTTTTAAAAAACGCTCACTTCATTTAAGCTACCAAAAAAAGTGAGCTATTGCGCATATAAATATGCTATAGTGAATATGATTATATATATATATATATATATATATATATATATATATATATATATATATATATATATATATATATATATATATATATATATATATATATATATATATATATATATATGCATATACACTAGTGTGTGTTTGTATATGCGTAAAATAAAAAATAATAAATATAAAATTTTTATTGTAAATATTTTAATTTATTATAAGTTATTATTATTATTACTTAATATTAGTTATTTTTAAGTAAAACTATAGGTATAGACTACACCTCTTGTGCATCTCTTCTACATAAGATTAATATGGAGAATTGAACACAAATAGAAATAGAAAAATACAAAAATAGTCATTTTTGTATTTCTACTTTTGTTTAATATTCCATATTAATCTTATGTAGATGTTTATGTTTTAGCATCCTGGGATTCTTTAATTATTTTCCTTTGTTATTGAGTCTTGAGTTACTTGAACATAATGTATTAAGAATTCTGCTGAATAATAGAGTAACAAATATATTAATAAAAATGAATTTAAAATATAATAAATTTATGAAATAAAAAAAATCTTATCTTTGCTAATAATGTCTACTAATATTATTGTTTAGCAAGTATTATGGTTATAAAATGTTCAGATTTAGAAATTATTACTTTTTAAATAATGATGTAAGGAGAGTTATTTTGTTGAAACAAAATATATATATTACAAACTATTCGTATAACTATTTCAATTCCACAGAAAGCAAACAGTATTGTCAAAGTTTTAAATTCACAACTACAAAAGAAAAATGTGATAATGAGAATGTTGATTTACAAAAATGAAAACATAAACAAAAAGAATTTCCTGATTATTTACCAAGTAGGTGTTAATTTTATGTGCTTGGATTATATAAATTTAATTTTTATGCCTAAAAATATTTTTATTTTTTTAGAATTTATACTATAAATAAGTAGCTATATTTTACAGGTTCAGTTATCAAAATTTGAAAACCTGGATGCAAAATTTGCATCCAGGTTTCCACTTGTGCGGTTTGGATTGCTCTCCACCTATGATGTATCTCCACAAACATAATATTAGATTTACTATTAGATTATTTAATATTAGATTTATGTTTTTTACAGATAAACCAATTACAATTAATGGGTGGAACGTTTTCTAAAGATAGAATACACAAAATTATGCTGAGGTAAACAAAAACAGTATTGGACTCTTACCGCATTTATAATCAAGGTGACCACAGCTCCTTTAAAATCCTCTAAAGTCCTCTTTTTCTAAAAACCACCTCTAAAATCCTCTATTATCCTCTAAAAAGGTAAAAATTTGATCAAAACTCCTCTTTAACTCCTCTTTTTTTAATTCTTGACGGAAGTTTAATGTTCAAAATACCCATTCTTGGTCTGCAAAACTAGTTAACGCCTTAAAGTGCATGGAATTGTAAAAAATTGCTTTAGCAAATGCATGCTATTTAACATAAAAATGACATTATTTAACCCCTGTCCATAAGTGTATAAACATGAACGTTAAACTAATAATAAATGGCCACATAAAATTTTCTCATAAAAATATTGTGGCCACCCTGAAAACTACTTTTTAATGCTAGAAAAATTTTATATTTTGATTATTAATTTATTTTTAAAAAAGGTTGTTTTATTTAAATTAAATATTTGAAAAAGTTAATAATAACCAACTAACAGTTATATTTTCTTTTAAAAATTTGGAGTATTTTCAAAAAATTATATGGCCTTCATGGATATGAAAGGCAAAAGATTTTATATATTTTTTTATGTACAGCTTCTTCTATTGTATTCAATGGACCAAAAGAAACCTAGGTTAATGTAACATTGTTTGACTTACCAAATTACGCTCTATTCCAAAAATGGTGGTGGAAGAGAAGAAATTTGTATAGATTTTATTCAAGTATATGTAAATATATGTAATATTTAGATTTTTCAACAAAACCAGTTTTATCTCTTTCTTTAATCATACCTAGCTTTTTTAACCAAGCTAAACTGAAAAAGTTCTAAATAGAATAAGTATAGACTATGAATAGATTTAATACCCATATTATACCTTGATAATTCACAGCAACACTATTGTACATGCATAGTACGATTTGACGGTGATCACATTTTGCTGCACATAGCACGTTTACATACATACATAAATTTTGACATACATAGCACATTTTAATGGTGAAATAGTGTTTCAACAGTCGTTTTAAGGTTGATAAATTAACGTTAAAAAAACTATCATTTTAAACGTTGTATCAACGTAAATTTATCGTTATTGTAATTTTTCTTTGCGTTGAATCAACATTGATACAACGTTTGAACATAACGTTGATTTAACGTTAAAAATAACTATCATTCTAAACTTTAAATCAACATAAATTCAACGTTATTGTAATGTTTTTTTGCGTCGAATCAACGTTGATGTAACAATTGAATCTAACGTTGATTTAACGTTGATAAATCAACGTTGAAAGAAATTTTCATTCTAAACATTAAATCAATGTAAATTCAACGTTAGGTTTCAACAATAGTTCAACATTATTTCAACGTTATTTGCCGGCTGGGATATATATATATATATATATATATATATATATATATATATATATATATATATATATATATATATATATATATATATATATATATTTATGTTTGTATATATATATATATATATATATATATATATATATATATATATATATATATATATATATATATATATATATATATATATATATATATATATATATATATATGTATATATGAATATACACGAGTGTGTGTTTGTATGTGTGTAAAATAAATAATAATAAATAAGAAATTTTTATTGTAAACATTTTTATTTTATTATAAGTTATAATTACTATTTATTTTAATTTAGTTTTAAGTAAAACTATAGGTACAGACTACACCTCTTGTGCATCTCTTCTTTGGCAATGTTAACAAGGATCTGACAAATAAAAATGAGTTGTTAGCATGGTTGTTTGTTAATATTGTGTTCAGTAATAAAAATCCAAATAAGAAAGGTATGCTCAAAATGAGATCTGTTAAACAATATGTAGAATTGCTTTTAAACTTGTTTTTCTTTGTAGATAAATTTTGACTAAGCTCAAGGTTGGTTTTTTAAAGTATTTTATGAGCTTGTCCAGTTTCAATTTGCACAAGATAAGAACATTGATATTTCTTGTTGTAAGAAGGATCAAAAAACTCCTTTGTTAAGTCATGACAAAATATTTCGGTTGGGATTTATCTTTAAGTTCAAGGCAAGGCACATTTTGTAGTGAAAAACGCAGACCCCCGATTAGAGTCTATAACGTGATGTGGTTTGTGAAATTCTGGGATAGTACTAATCTGTCAGGGGTTGACCTAATATATATAACTTTACTATAATCAGTTTCCAATTCACATAGTCTGTGACATCATTAATGAATTAAATAAAAAAAGAGTGTTCAAGCCAAAACCTTGCAGGATAACCTTAGTGACTGGCAACCAATTAGAAGTAGTCAAATCTATGACAACTCAATGCATTTTGTTAAATGGAGGATTTCTGTTAAAGGATTTTATGCAATTTATTAGCATTTTATAAACACCATTATCAAAACGTTTGTGAACCAAAAGATCATGAGGTGTATCAAATGCTTTTTTATAGTCTAGATAGAGAGTATCAACACTGTAGCTTGTTACTATTGAATATGAATTCTGATTGACAAGGTCTAGTAAATTTGTAATGAATGTTTAATTTGGAACAAATCCATGCTGTTTTAGAGATAAAAATTTAATTGCAAACAGATACTTCTGAGCAAACATAAGTAATTGAGTTAGTAGTTCATAGGATCAAGTTTAGATTTTTTTTCACGAAAAAGCTGCTGTACGGATATTATCTTCTTGCCACACAGCTGAGACTTTAACTTCAAAACTGTGTTTTATAAATATATAAGTGATTGGCATATTCATTCTGTCTTTTATAATAAAGATCGTTTTTCTTTTTTCCCATAAAGATTAGATTTATTTCTGATCCAAGGCATTTTGTAAACAGAATATTTCAAATTAAATAAAGGTATTTGATGACATCTTTTATCATAGATAGAATGTAAAGCTTTATAACATTAATTTTAAGCCTATAAACGCCATTAACGATTGATGCAGTTGATAATAATAATACTATATATTATAAAAACACATGTTTAAATAAAATTTAAATTTGTTATAATTAAACAATATCATGATAATTTAGTTTTACTAATAAAAATATATTAAATAAAGTATTTTGATGAACATTTTATAACTATACAGTTGTATGATTAAGTTCAAAAATAGTATTAACTAAATAATAGATTGATAAAAAATGATGAATTGAGGTAAAAACTATATAAAATAACTTACGTGTGATTGATTA